GTTTTATGTTTTATGAATTATAAGGAAAAGTACGGACGTCAGTTGCATGTACATAATTATATATCATTGCATAAAACTGTGTTCATTCAGGTATACTTATCCCACATATCAAGAGACCTGTGCAATTTTTTTTATCATGTTTTTTTTTTCAAAAGAAACATATAGCGTACCATTATTTCACACAGAATCGCGTTTTCACATATTTTTTTTTAACTCTTTGAGTATTTCACAAGAATCCAAGAATCGTCTTTTCACATCTTTTATAATTCCTTGGGTATATAGAGTATAGATCATGTGTCATAAATAATTTAACTTTTTATCAAATATACATGTAATAACCAAATCTAATCTATAGATTGATTTTCTTTCTTTTAAGTGGCAGATATCAATTTATTTATAAAGGCTTTAAAACAGTACTGTATTACAATTTTCTATCGCTCAATTCCTTTTTGAATGTATGTAATATTTTTTTAATATCGAAAATAAAACTCGGAAATCGGGATAATTTCGCATTCAAATCATAGAGAATAATAAATCGTCTACATTATAGAAAGTTTATAACTATCGTATTCTGAACTTACTATACGAGATAGATAAAATTGCATGCCTGTCCATCACTATAAATGTATATTCAGTGCTTATAATATATTTACTTGAATTAGGTACCTAGCATATATATTATTTTTTTTAGATATATTCATGTGTAAATCAATTAACTGTCAATACAGGCTTACACTACATTGGCAACTTTAAACTATACATGCACTGGAAGCGGTAACCAACGTACTCTTACATTTAGAAGAGTGCATATGGAACGTCTAAATATTTTTGATATGGAGAGTGTATCTGACGTCATCGATACTATTTCCGCCTTTATCTCGAAAGTTCTTTTCTCACTTACAAGTCAGAGTTATCTTTCTTTGCCCATTGTATACACACTAGGTAAATGGGGAAAATGACGGTACCTAAAATCTAGAAAATGCGCAATCCAATTTTAAAACAAATTATATATTTAGTATTTGTAGAATAACCTCTGTTATACATAATAATATCTTGAAAAAATATTAAAAAACAAAAAAGTTGAAAATTGACCAAACACAAATTCACTTCCGGTTCGGACAGGAAGTACCGGAAACACATGAAAACAACTTCGAAACAAAGAGAATGTCATGATCTAATACTCCTGTAAATTTCACATCTTTACCTCAAACCGTTTTCGAGAAAAATTCCGGACAAAAGTCCATTTAAAAATTGGAAATTCGGCCGTAACTTCGGACCGGAAGTGAATTTTTCAAAAAACGGAATTTTATATAAACTTCATATATCAGCCTACTATCATGTGAAAAATTGTGAAAATCTATCCAACCATCTCTGAGTAATCGCGCTCACAAAATTTGGGAGGAATAATAATAATAATAACTAGACTCTTGTTGCCATGGCAACAAAAAGTCTTCCGTTCTTCTAAATCTGTAAGAATTTGCTTTTTTCTGTGTAAAAAACATACATATCATATTTACTGTGAAAGAAAAAAATAACTGGAAAAAAGTCCTTTCAGTACTTAAGGTACTTTGATTTTCATTATCAATCTTGTATAATACATTTGGCACCTATAAGAGATATACGTATATCATTAGCAATTTAAAAAAAAAATGTTTGCAATCATTTCTAAGACAAACAAACAGACGAACGAACACCGTACTATCATAAACTTCACTGTGTGTATGTTTTGGCATAATTGTGATGGTGTTATAAAAAAATATAATGAATTAATTTAGTATCACATTAAACGTAAAGTCACTGAGTTTTGTAAAGTTATAATATCAAGATTTGACAACATACCTATAAGACAAATTATTCAATTACAGTAATTCTTCAGCAATCGATTGATTGATTGATTGATTATACGTATGTTGTTTAACGTCCCTCTCCAGAATTTTTCACTCACATGGAGACGCCACCACTCGCCGGTGGAGACTGTAAATTTTTGTCCTATACTTTGGCAATTGAGCAGTGGGGAATCTTTTTTATGCCAGCATCTTCTGCGACAAGGGACCTCGATTTATACGATCTCATCCAAAGGACCGGTCTCCACGTCCCACAGTCGAAGTTCATAATACCGAGATATTTTATTTTTTATTTTATTCTATTTTTTTTCACAAGTTTGTTGCAGCAGATTTACTTAAAGATCATACTTCAAGATCATTTCGAACTCAGGCTACTTAATTGCAGTGCTTACAGCGTCAAGTGATTTTGATTGACAGGTCAACACACGTGCACTTCGTGTGATACTTTTTAAGCTGAAAAATATACAGGATGTGACCATGACTGACTATGAAATCAGAAAACATCTAATAAAGAATGGGTGTGACCGATAAAGAACTAATCTTTGGTCTGGATCGGGATTAAGAGGGAATCTCTCTCCTCTCTCTCTCTCTCTCTCTCTCTCTCAGACATGTAAATTGAACATTTCATAATTATAAAATATGAAATTCTGTATACATGTAAATGGTAATGTTATTCACATGTTCCAGATTTAAATCTAAAACGAATATATAATTCAAATTCAAGACGGGGGGGGGGGGGGGCTTCAAAGGAATTAGATAATTTTATGAATTACAAGGAAAAGTACGGACGTCAGTTGCATGTACATGATTATATATCATTGCATAAAATTGTGTTCATTCAGATATACTTATCCCACATATCAACAGACTTGTACAATTTTTTTATCATGTTTTTTTTTCCAAATGAAACATATAGCGTACCATTATTTCACACACTCTTTAACTCTTTGAGTATTTCACAAGAATCCAAGAATCGCCTTTTCACATCTTTTATAATTCCTTGGGTATATAGAGTATAGATCATGTGTCATAAATAATTTAACCTTTTATCAAATATATATGTAATAACCAAATCTAATCTATAGATTGATTTTCTTTCTTTTCAGTGGCAGATATCAATTTATTTATAAAGGCTTTAAAACAGTACTGTATTACAATTTTCTATCGCTTAATTCCTTTTTTGAGTGTATGTAATATTTTTTAATATCGAAAGTAAAACTCGGAAATCGGGATAATTTCGCATTCAGATCATAAAGAATAATAAATCGTCTGCATTATAGAAGGCTTATAACTATCGTATTCTGAACTTAATATACGAAATAGATAAAACTGCATGCCTGTCCATCACTATAAATGTATATTCAGTGCTTATAATATATTTACTTGAATTAGCTACCTAGCATATATATATATATTATTTTTTTTTAGATATATTCATGTGTAAATTAACTAACTGTCAATACAGACTTACACTACACTGGCAACTTCAAACTTTACGTGCACTGGAAGCGGTAACCAACGTCCTCTTAAATTTTGAAGAGTGAATATAGAACGTCTAAATATTTTGATATGGAGAGTGTATATGTCTCTAACGTCATCGATACTATTTCCGCCTTTATCTCGAAAGTTCTATTCTCACTTACAAGTCAGAGTTATCTTTCTTTGCCCATTGTCTACACACTAGGTAAATAGGGAAAATGAGGGTACCGAAAATCTGCAAAATGTGGAATCTGATTTCAAAACAAATTATATATTTAGTATTTGTAGAATAACCTCTGTTATACATAATAATATCTTGAAAAAATATTTAAAAACAAAAAAGTTGAAAATTGACCAAACACAAGTTCACTTCCGGTTCGGACAGGAAGTACCGGAAACACACGAAAACAACTTCGAAACAAAGAAAATGTCATGATCTAATACCCCTGTAAATTTCACATCTTTACCTCAAACCGTTTCCGAGAAAAATTCCGGACAAAAGTCCATTTAAAAATTGGAAATTCGGCCGTAACTTCGGTCCGGAAGTGAATTTTTCAAAAAACGGAATTTTATATAAACTTCATATATCAGCCTACTATCATGTGAAAAATTGTGAAAATCTATCCAACCATCTCTGAGTAATCGCGCTCACAAAATTTGGGAGGAATAATAATAATAATAATAATAATAATAAAAAGAAACAATACAATCACTATAAGTCTTCCGTTGTGAACGGAAGACTTAATAAAAAGAAACAATACAATCACTATAAGTCTTCCGTTGTGAACGGAAGACTTAATAATAATAATAATAAAAAGAAACAATACAATCACTATAAGTCTTCCGTTGTGAACGGAAGACTTAATAATAAGAAACAGAGTAAAAACAATATGTTCCCAAACTTCGTTTGGGGAACATAATAACACCAATAGCATGGCAAATGTACGAATATCAAGTTATAAAAATTGGATTCTTGTAATTTGTAAATACTTTGTGAGCGGTATTTCAACGCACTATTTAACACGGAAAATTGGTTTTGTTTGTTAATGTGAGCATGGGGAATCTTAATTAGTACCTAATCTTTCTATTTTTAAGAAATTAAAACATAGAAAATAGTTATAAGTTGACTTTCCTGCAGTCATTTGAAATGGTATCGTAAATTTGCCTGAACCACGTGTTTAAAGTAAAATGTACACATGTAGTAGACCAGCACGCTTTTCTGTTCATTCATTGGATTGGACCATTGTTCGCGGTAAGCACCACCTTGCTCAACGACGACAATATCCATATAATGTAGATTCCTTGGCCTGTTAAATCCCCTTGAGTTCAAAAGAGACAATTCTCTCTTTTTGTTCGACATTATTTATGTTCACAACCCACCGTCTGCTTAAGTTGAAACTAAAACGGTCCTAAAAATAAATCATACCCGGATTAATTCACACCCTGAATTTTATATTCCAAATCTATTTTTTTATGCCTCAACATTGAAAACTAAATATGAAGCAAGTTAAACATGATGACGTCAGCCGTGTTTGTTGCAATACTTTTGGCCTCTCAGTGTAGATATTTCTTCATTAGCAATTTTACTGTAGGTTGAACATCTTTGACTTTTGTTGATGTATATTACTGTGTGAAAAATGGTGATTTATATTTTGATTATTATCAATGGAATACTAGGATGAAATGTTGGTGTTCATGGAATACTGTGATCGTGGAACACTGGAAGAAGCAGCAAAAATGGGACTTCCTGAACACAACATCAGAGTATACACCAGGGAAATTCTGCTAGCCGTCAACCATTTACATGAAAATAACATTTTACACAGAGATATAAAGGGTAATTACAATTATCTTAATTACGTTTTGTATATGTGATTATCCCCTTGCACAGCTAGTTGCAGAGGGGATAATCATAAGCATTGATGCAGTGCGTATGTGTGTGTGTTGGTGTATGCATGTTATCCCCCCCCCCCCCCCCCAAAAAAATGATATGCACCTTGACTTTTGTTAAAAATTTAATTTGTGTAGCAATACATTTTAATTTCTTTACCTTATTTTAAACTTTATATAGTAATAATGGATGCCCTTGATTACTAGATGATTGTATCTTGTTTAATGTCCCTCTTGAGAATTTTCTCTCAAATGGAGGCATTGCCTTTACCGGTGAAGTTCTTGCAGCAAGGGGATGCTCGGCTTAGGGTGCTCTTGTTGTACTTCTTATTCCTCTGAGTATTTTTTGTATATAAAAATATGATCGTCATGAATGAACTGTTATTTTTTTCTAAACAACATCAAATGAGATAGTTTTTGTGTTATTTGCTTATGGTAAAATAGAAGTCAAAACTATTCACTGACAATTTAACATTTGATTTCCCTCACTTTTCATCTTGGAACCTTTCTGATTTATGCGGGTCATAATGTAAAAATTGTCTGACACAGGTTCTTTTTTTCAGTATAATAAAACACCTATTTTCTTTATTGTTTGGACAATAGCACGTCCATGCAAGTGAGTTAAGGCTAAGTATAGGCATTTCTATGCAAATAAACTAATTAAAATGCCTAAGAACTATACCTATTATACAGAGAAAGTTAAAACTTATTGTCTAATACATACTTGGTACACACGACATGATCTTTACTATAGTCTGTCCAACGGTACCAAGGACCTCACTTTTCGCCTCATATCTCAAAAATTAATGTATAAATACCTTGGCCTTCAAACTAGGTTCGATCGATAGATCATTTTTTTTCCAAACTTCCTGCATTTCTCCGAACCCTCTAGTTCAACCGGTGTATTGACACGGTGGCAAATTCAAAGTCTACGGGGATTTAACATGGTAAACTCGTCCATTAGCGTCAAGATCATGGGGCAAGAAACCAGTTTATCGAGGGAGTAGTCGTTCTTTCCAAATTAAAATTATAAAAAATCCTAAAAATTCAACAAAAGTAATTCAGTGTGAATTGGTAAATAATATAAGTATATTTTTGCATTCAAATATATTTTGACGAGTTTTTCATAAAATGAGAGAAAATAATCCGAATTCAATGCAGTACAAGTTGTGGATGTTGAGGTCACGCATTTCCTCTAGAAACGGATGTTGACACGGTCTGGTGCAAGACGTTATATACAGCTTCATTTGTTGAAAATGTAGCAAGATGGTAAGTTGTCATCCTTTTCTTTATTTTATACCACACATACACCCAAGAAAGAACTGTTTTAAATGCTAAGAATAAGTCAAAATGTTTGCATTAGTGCTCCATAACATGTTACAAATCAGAGAAAAAAAACAAAGGAAAACTGACATTTTTATCAACTTATTTCAAATCATAAAACTATTAGGAAAAAAAGAAAGCGTACAATTACACCTTTTAATTATAAAGACAATGACTTTTTTTTAATTAGAAGCTGGTAGATTTTTATATATTCATTTAAATTCATGATCATGTAGGTCGATCTACTTTCACTTTGAACACTTGTGCATTTGGCAGTCACTACCTACATGATCCATAAAAAGCAAAATTTTACATCTGTGCAAAGTGTCAGCATCTTCACGAATCACTATACAGTTTTTTATATTTTTACCAAAAATTTTGGACACTCAAGATTTTTTTCTGAACTTTTTAGTTTTAATTTTACAGGACTGAGTTCTGAGGGTCTTCTGTGTTTTAACATACAGAGCTATCAGATATTGTTAGGTGTATAAATATGTAAATAAAGGTTACATGTTGATTGATGCAGTCCAGATTTAACTGTATTTCAAGAGTTAACTTATCTACTGCCTGCTTTGCCCAAGATGAAAAATCAACATAATGATCCACTAAAATACTTGCATTGATAAAATTGCATGAAAATCAAAAGATGTAAATATTTCACTTCTAGGCACAAATGCATCATCCTAAAAAGCCAGGGGTCCAATGGCAACATGTTGACTCAGGACCCCTGGCTTGCAAGGATGCAAATACATATGGTAAATACCATATAAAGGTTATTTGTATTATATTCAGTGCATTTAAGACATGCTAAAAATATAAATTTGTAGCATTAATTACATATATATAGGAGATTCACATTTATCTGATTTACAGCTACTGTTCTACATTTCTTAATATTTTGTTGGGGGGGGGGGGGGGGGGGGGGGGCTTGAGGTTACACATTAAATGCACTGAATGCAGTATTTCTCATTTTAAAATTCCCCAGCTAAATAAACAATGCATTTATTTATCTTTATTTGATATAATCCATAGAATTTTTTTTCCACTATTTGATAAACTTTATTATAAATAATGTCTAATATTCTCAAAATATCTGGTAACTTTTAAATAAAGGACAATCAGTCAGTGAATGAATCTTTAACACAATTCATGTCTCACATTATACAAATTCTCTCATGGGTAATTTTTTTTGTCTCTCAGTGTTTACAATTTTATGTATAATTCACTTTCAATTCTGTGACTATGTTCAATTTACTGTATATTAATTTTCCTAGTTTTAAACTTTTTAAAAAATAACTTTTTTTTCAAGACATTTTTTATTGTCGAAAGATGCTGTAAGTTTACCCGCAAGGCCGTAACTACCATTGAGGCAAGTGAGGCAAATGCCTCACTAAAATTTCAGAGTTTTCTGAAAAGTGAAAAAAAAGTTTTACTTTGAACTTTAATTACATTGTACTTATGTGTGTCTTTGTACTAAATTAATGCTTACAAAAACTGTTCAACTTTTGTTTGAACTTTCAATTCCTGTTAATCGATCATCTCAGGCGTTTCATTGTCGTTTAGAACGCATGTAAAAATAATTAATTCAAAATGTGAAACTTTCAAAGATTGTCTTTAACTAAAACCCAGGTTTCGGGATCCCCTCCCCCTGAGAACCTCCATCAGGACACTGGACCCACTTGAAACTTGGTTGGCCCCAGATCCCTTGCCTCACTAAAAATTTGAGCCTAGTTACGGCCTTGACTTGACATACAACCCTTGAGACTTCCATTTACTTAAACACTAAGTATTGTAAAGAAAAAAAAATCATCTTTCATAATTTCTTTTACATGTAGATTTTTCTTAAAAGTTATTAGTTTTATTATTTACATCCCCCATATATAGTAGACCCATTTCGTTCAAACACTGCAAAAAGAAAATAAATCAAAAAATTCATACATATATGCAAAATTAATACATCATGTAATTAAGTATGAACAGTATTCTAGCACAACAAATAAAAGGTCATAAAGCAGAGATCATTTAAATTGTAAATGGGCACATCACTGATTTGGTTTGTGTCCCTTTTTCAGTTTATTCGTTATTCAACACCATTTGAAGGACTAATTATTGATAATCATTAAAGAATTGTAATAAAGAAGCAACATTTACCTTGTTATGTCTTTATTAATTATAAAAAAAATATTTTGAAGGTATTAATTAATTGGAATACATTGTTATAATGAGCAGACATCAAGAGGAGAAGGTGCACAATGCTTGTAAAGGACAATCCACTCAAATTTTTGGAATAATTTAAAAGTGTTTGGCGTTCATCTAGATGAAACATACATGAACAAGTTTCAGGACATTCTTCTGGATGGTCGGGGCAGTAAGTATATATATGAATATAAAAGAAAATGTCTTTTTTCTATGTAAAGTATATATACTTGGCCCTCATATCTGAAATTAAAAAATCATGTATATTTTTCATATGTACAGAAAGAATTCATGATATCATGATACATGTACAAATGAAATCATCTGAATTTTCATTATTCCTTAATTTCACTTTACAGAGACTTAATTTTTTTTTCATGCACCAGAATCTTCATGACAGTTTATATGTTAATATGTGTATTATTGTCATCTTTTTCAGGCCCAAAGAATAGTCTAAACCAAAGATTACCAGGTCATTTGCCCAGTGGTGCTCACTTGATGAGCCAGACACAAATTGAAGTGTTAGTGATATAATGGAGAGAAAAATACTCACTTTCTAATCCATTCATAGATGTTGTTTCTCTCCTCGGCTTCATGTGTATTATGTCCAATATGAATCATGACTTGTTTTTTACCAATTGACATTCAAACCATGGACACCAGCAGCACTGAGCATTTTACTTTCATTTCTTCTTCAGTCTGAATATCTTTTAGATATCTTAATAAAATTTAATATAGGATAGACAATTCATTTACCTCTTGGAATATTTTTCAAATTTACTTAAAATACTGAAAACAGTTAAAACAAAATTACAAATAACATAGTACTAGTATGTTGAGTGGTTTTACTCTGTAATTTCACTAATTTAAGATTTAAGTAATTTGAGATTTGATATTTTTACAACTAGTTATTCAAGTTTTATAACAATTTTCACAGTATGAATTTAATTTGCAAAGCAGAAATTGTAAATTATGATACTTGGTAATATCCATGATTTGGAAGTCCCAACTACTTTAATATTCTTGAAGTATTTTACTCTCGATATCTTGAATACTCTGATATCTTGGAAGTTTTTATCAGTCCCATCGTAGGACAATGAGGTTTGACAATAAAGTTTAATTAATATGAAAAGTATAAACACGTATGATGACCTTTTTTTGGCTTGTCAAGCTTCAACTGAAAATGTTTGGTTGCCTACAAACCACGCCCCCCCCCAACCCCCAACCCCCCACTTACACACACGAACACACACACTTAAATTGCTTCCCATGGGCCTGACCCGATAAATTATAAATGATTTTCCAAATGACTGTAGACAAATTCAAAAAAAAAAAAAAAAAATGAAAGCCACACACACATTTCTGCAGCTACCTAAGGTTGAATTAATTTAATATACATTTATACAAATAGTAAGAGCAATTGAAATT